ACATACCTTCAATATGTCAGGGTCATTCTTGCTTTAATTTTCCCCCTATAGCTTATATACCCCAGCAGAATCTTTTAAGCAATATAAAAATTACAATGTGTGATTACATTCTATTTTTAAGTGAATGATTACAATGAATACAAGTAAAAAACAGCATGTTTCTCATTTCCCATACATGATTAAACATTTTATGTTTACAGGTGAAAAATTATACCCAAGAACCCACGTAAATTCATGTCTAAGCAACATGTTATAGATTAAACAAAGTGTAAGCAAGCAAGGTATTCTTCTCAGCCAGTTCCTTAACTGGCAGGCTGAATTCTTCATTTACAAAGAAAGGGTCAATCATTTTATTATTTATCTCAAAAAGTAATTTATAAAAGATCTTAGCCCGGTGGTGGTAGTGCACAGCTTTAATCCCAGCACTCGGGAGGCAGAGGCAGGCAGATCTCTGTGAGTTCAAGACCAGCCTGGTCTATAAGAGCGAGTTCCAGGACAGCCTCCAAAGCCACAGAGAAACCCTGTCTCAAAAATAAATAAATAAATAAAAATAAATAAATAAAATCTTAAATCATATCAGGAAACCAAGGGCAAAAATAGGTAGAAGGAATTAATCATCACCTTTGATCACCAACCCATCCTAGCCAGAAAGGCGTCAGCAAATAATAGCCAGGCTGCCTTTGTCCTTGTTCCTTGAAGCTTAACTAACAAAAGTGAGTCTCTCTAAACTTTAAATTGTTCCCCAAGATTTTCTACTTCAAAGATATTGACAAAAACATCTTAACCTACTTGCTAATAATTCTGTGTGTCTGAATTCTTTCTAAGGGTGGTGGTTGAGTCATTAATCTGCTCCAGCAGCCATGCTTGGAAAAAGTCAGTCACAATTACTATAAGTACCAGCAACACTGCCCAGCGAGGGGCTAGACACTCCGAGAGTTTTCATACAGCTCACAGATTAGGAACATAAGCAGAGCTATGCTTAGTAACAGCATGAGGACCTCAGGACACAGTCCCTGGACGGAGCTGCTCGCAAAGCTCGGAGGTGGCAGCCAGGGTGGGCAGAGGGCTGCAGCGCCCGGCCCTCCTTCCGGAAGCGGCCCGCCGGGGCCGTGCTGTCCCTTTGCGGTGACGGCCGCCGGGATCCCAGATCCCGCCCCGGGAAGCCGCGCTCCTCCCGGCCCGCCGGCCGCTCTAGGAGGCGAGCGCCCGCGACTCAGTGGGAATAACCCCTTCAGCTCCGCAAGCCTGGCGCTTTCTCCTCACTTCCTTCCAGGAAAGACGCAAGACAGCAAATGAATGAGACTCTCTGAAACTCTGTCCCCCCCAGGCTTCTTGCATCCTAGGCAAACACCCAACCAACTGAGCACGGGTTCTGAGCCTCTGTTTTCTTCTCTGTAAAGACACCCAGCTGCCTTGAGGACTGTTTTTAAGATTCAGCTAATTAGACCACATGCTACAAGAGCATCAGGCATGCTGTAGCTGCTTCACAAATGCCAGAGTGTGGTGGAGGACCCCCTGGAGCTCAGTGCAAATGATCTCAGGTTCACAGCCGTCTGGACACTTTAACCATTTTTATTGCTTCAAAAGGACTGTTAGGAAGACTCAGCTTTGTAACATGATGAGAGCTGCTTGCTGACAGCTTCCTGTGTGCAAAGGTCCTTACATAAGTGACCCCTGTGATCTCCTGTGAAGTGTTACTACTCCTACCTCATAGAAGAAGCCTATGTTTGTCAGTCTGATTCCAACACAGCGGCTTCTCTCTCTGAACTACATGCCTGGTTCTACACCGAAGCATCTACACCATGAGCTGGTCAGCATGGCTGGCTAGCCAGAGAAAAGGAAGCTGAAGTCACCCTATTCCTGCAGCAGAATAAAAATCATTGGGGTGAGGGGTCACAAATGGAGAGATGGCTCAGAGCTTTGCACAGGCTTCTCTTCAAACGGCCAGGGTTCAATTCCCAGCACCCACATGAAATTCCCTCCTGACTTTTGAGGTAACAGGTATTCACATGGTGTACACACATACATGCAGGCAAAGCACTCATACACATAAAATAAATCTAAAAAAAAAATATATTGGAAAACCGAGTGTGGTGTTCCACACTGTAATCCCAGCACTGAGAGCTTAAAGCAGGACAATCACAGGTTCCAGGCCACAAGACCACATAGCAAGACCCAGTCTCAAGAAACAAAAATAATAAATACATAAATAAAATAAAGGGTCAGCAAGACGGCTCTAGTTCTGCTGCTAAGCAGATAAAATGAGTTTGATCCCTGGAACCCACATGGTAGAAGGAGAAAACCAACTCCCCCCAGGATGCTCTCTGACCTACACAAGCTGTGTGTGTGTGCATGTGTGCATGTAGTATGTATATGTGTGTATGTGTAATAAAATTTTGTTAAAAACTCAGGGACTGGCCAGATACCGTGGTGTGCAGTTTTGATTCCAGCACTCGAGAGGCAGAGGCAGGCAGATCTCTGTGAGTTCAAGACCAAGCTAGTCTACAGAGCTAGTTCCAGGACAACTAGGGCTGTTATGCAGAGAAACCTTGTTTAAAAACAAACAAACAAACAAACAAAAAACAAAAAACAAAAAACCCAAACCCAAAACAAATTTAAAAACTCAGGGACCAAGCTGGGCATGGTGGAATATGTCTTTAGTCATAGCACTCAGGAGGTGAATCTCTAAGTTCTAGGCCAGCTCAGTCTACAAATAGAGTTCTAAGACAACCAAGGCTACACATAGAAACCCTGTCTTGAAAAAGAAAAAACAGCCAACCAACCAATCAATAAGGGGCTGGAGAGATGGCTCAGAGGTTAAGAGCACTGCCTGCTCTTCCAGAGGACTGCAGTTCAATTCTCAGCACCCACATGGCAGCTCACAACTGTCTGTGTCTGTAACTACAGTTCCTAGGGATTTGACACCTTCACACAGACAGTCTGTGTCTGTAACTACAGTTCCTAGGGATTTGACACCTTCACACAGACATGCATGCAAGCAAAACACCAATGCACTTAAAATAAAAATCATTTTAAAAATAAAATAAACCCTAGGGTTAGAGATGAGTCAATGGTTAAGAATACTTCCTCTAGAATTTGGATCTCAGCACCCATGTGACAAGCCAGATGTCCCTGCAAATGCCTGTAACTACAGTGTTGATAGAGGATTACTGGTCTTCCTGATGCCTGAGCTTCAAATCAGGTAGAGCCCTGCCTTGAAGGGATAGGCAGAGAATTCTAGAGGCTGACACCCAACACCTGGCTTCTGAGCACACAGAGGCGCATACATGCACACACACACACACACACACACGGATATATATTATATGTTTTTTGAGCCAGGGTTTTTTTGTGTAACAGCCTTGGCTGTCCTGAAACTCCCTCTGTAGACCAGGCTGGTCTTGAACTCACAGAGATCTGCCTGCCTGTCTCCCCAGTGCTGGGATTAAAGGCGTGCGCCACCAACGCCTGGCCCTACATTCCTAAATCTTATGTTTGAAAAGAAACAATCTCCAAAGCTAAACAAAAATCTGCAGTCAAAAGCCTGAGGATAATCTCTTTATAACTCTGAGACTGTATGGGATACAGTGACCAGCAGGAATGCTCAAAGAGTCATATGTCCAAGCTAATTTTGTGTCTTTGATAAAAGGACCACAGGGACAGTCACTGACAGTGATTGAGCACTTGCCCCACACAGACTCTGCTCTAAGAGCTCCCATTAACTAACAGATTTAACCCAAAGGCCCACTTGTGTAGGAGGGACCACCTTCAGTGGATATGAGACTAGAGAAATACTGTACAGGTTTGCATGGATTTCAACAAACATGTATGTAATAAAGGCTGCCCAGTACCCTTGACCCTTGAAGTAAGAGGTAATGGCTAAGTGCTCTGAATTTCCTCATAACAAATAGCAGGAAATAGATATAATATTTCTATTTCTAGAAATGGAATGCTCAAGAAAACATTTAAAAATTGGGAAACCCAGCTGGCATGGTAGTACACTATTGTAATTCTAGCTCTTGAGAGGCTGAGGCAGGAGGATTTTAAGTTTGAGCCTAGCCTGGGCTCTGTAGAGAAACCCTATCTCTAAAAATTTAAATTTCAGCTGGGTGTGGTGGTGCATGCCTCTAATCCCAGCACTCAGGAGACAGAAGCAGGCGAATCTCTGAGTGTTTGAAACCAGCCTGGTCAGCCAGAGCTGTTACACAGATAAACCCTGTCTCAAAAAACAAAAACAAACCACAAACTATCTAGGGCAACAAAGAAGGTTGATGGAGGTGAGAGGATGTGGAGTACTATACTCAAGGTACAACTTATACTTGAGCCGGGCAGTGGTGGCGCACGCCTTTGATCCCAGCACTCTGGAGGCAGAGGCAGGTGGCTATCTGTGAGTTTGAGGCCAGCCTGGTCAATGGAATGAGTTCCAGGACAACTAGATATGAGACATTGTTTCAAAACAAAACAAACAATGGAAGATTGTCTAATTCCATGTTGAGGGGTTACACGTCTGGACCTGCCAGCTAATCTGAGTTTGTACATGAGAAGGGAGGTGTGAACTGAGGAAAGAAAAAGTTAAAGAAACAACAGATCCGTCAGGAAGTCAGTCATCCAGTGAATACTGACTCACCCAAGTTTAATGTTCAAAGTATTTTTATACCCCCATCAAATGCGGGGAAGAAGAGAAAAGACTTCCTTTCCACTGACAGAGTAATTACCCCTCCAATACCGGAATCACCCAGAACCCATCTGAGCTGAGCGTTCTGTTTGGGCGGGGCATGCAGCCACTCTGTTGCTTGGGCAGGACATGCAGCGACAGCCTCTTAGGCCAAGCATCCTGTTGCATCCACATCTTAGGCCAGACATCTCTGTTGTTTCACCTTGAAAGAGAAAGGGCAGGTAAAAAAAAAAAAAAAAAAAAAAAAAAAAAAAACAACTCTGACCTAAAGTTAATATGGGACGGAGGCTCTTCTGGTCTCTTTGGCCTTGACCGCAGAAGCAAGATGACAGAAAGAACGCCATCCTTTGGAAAGCATTGCAATAAGACGCACACGTTGTGTGCCGCCACTGTGGCTCTATGTCTACCACCTTCAGAAGTCGACCTGTGGCAAATGTGGCTACCCTGCCAAGCGCAAGAGAAAGTATAACTGGAGTGCCAAGGCTGAGAGAGAAAACATTACCGGGACTGGGCAGATGAGGCACCTAAAAATTGTCTATGGAAGATTCAGAGATGGATTCCGTGAAGGAACATCGTCTAAACCCAAGAGGGCAGCGGTTGCAGCATCCAGTTCATGTTGAGGATTTCAGTCAGTCATAGAATAGAATGTTCTGATTTCGAAAAAATAAAATAAAATGGAATGTAGTCAATCCTGTGAGTTCCCACAGAAAATATCTTGAGACCCAGTATCATGAATATTCACCAACAAATAAAACAACTCCTCCTGCCAAAATACAAACTATGGCACAATTTGTCACTCATCCGTTGGTGGGCATCTGACTTCTTTCCACTGTTGGTCCAAGAACAGAGCTGTCCTGAGCCTTCACAGGTGTGTAATTGTTTCTTCATTTCTCCTGGGTGGACAGAAGTGGGAACGTTGAGTCCCATGATGATTCTGTGGTTTAACCAAGACTTTTCTAAACTGTTGTCCAGTACTACCCCAATGACATTCCTATAGGCAATGTGTGAACATTCTTTTCCAAACTGTTTCTTTTCAGTTGTTTTGTTTGCTTGTTGTGTGGTTAGAAATGGTCTCAAGCAGCCAAGACTGGCCTTGAACTTGTGCAGCTCAGAATGACCTTGAGCCTCTTATCTTCCTGCTCCCCTCCCCCCGGTGCTGAGATTACGGGTGTGTGTCTCCATACTGAGTTTATAGGTCTGGGAATGGATTTAAGGCTGTAGGCCCGCTAGGTAACACTGTACCCACTGAAATACTTGCCCAACTTCTTGTCATCCTTTTCCAAATCTTCTCTTTGTTATAAGCGTCCTCAAGGGCTTCTATTTGAATTTCCCTATGATGAACGGTTCTGAGCATCGTCTCACGGCTGCTCAGCCATGTGTACGTCTGTGAAGAAATGTCCATTCAAATCCTTTGCCCATGTTTTGATTGAGTTTCGAGCTGTAACTGTTCAGCTGTAACTGCTTCGTAAATGTTGGCACTGGGACTTAGTGAGATACTTGATTTACTTGCATTTCCTCTCATTCTGTGAATTGTTTTCATTTTCTTGTAATTTCCTCTGGTATACAAAATTTTTAATGATGTCTGGTTTATCTTCTTCCTCTTCTTCCTGTTTGTACCTTTTCAATTTATTTTTTATTTTATGTGCACAAGTTTTTTTGCCTGCATGTATATCTGTGTACCACTTGTGAATTTAGTGCCTGAGGAAGCCAGAAGAGGGTATTGGATGCCTTGGAACTGGAGTAACAAAGGTGTGTAAGCCATCATGTTCCTGCTACGAACTGGACAGAACCCAGGACTCTGCAATAACAGTAAAGAGTTCTTAACCTCTAACAGCAAGTGCTCTCGGCCACTGAGCCATCTCTCCAGCTACTCCCCACTTCTTTTGAAGGAGTCTCAAAAAGTCCCTAAGAAGCCAGGTGTGATGGTGCACCCCTTTAATTCCAGCACTGGGAGCAGGGGAAGAGCCCTGTTCTATATAAACACACTGTCTCAAAAAAAAAAAAAAAGTTCCTAAGAAAGTTACAGAGTCTCTATGGGACTCAGCAATCCCACTTCTATCCACCGAGGAGAAATGAAAACACATGCCCACACAATTACACACCTGTAAAGGCTCAGGACAGCTCTGTTCTCAGCCCAATGAGGGAAAGAAGTCAGATGCTCACCAAGGGATGAGTGGCAAATTGTGCTATAACTTGTATTTGGGTGGTGATGGTGTCTTTTCTTCCTTCCTTCCTAACCCCCCCCCACCACCCAGGGTTTCTCTGTATAACAAACCTAGCTGTCCTGGTACTGGCTCTGTATCAGGTTGGCCTTGAACTCACAGAGACCATCCTGCCTCTCTCCCTTCCTTCCTTCCTTCCTTCTTTCTTCCTTTCTTCCTTCCTTCATCCTCCTGTTTTTATTCCTTGCTGGCCTTAAATTCATTATAGCCAAGGATGTTTCAAGTTTTGTGGGTTTTGTTGTTGTTTTGTTTTGTTTTTAGACAGGTTCTCAGTATGTATCCCTGGCCAGCCTGGAACCTGCTGTGTGTAGACCATGCAAGCCTGGAACTCATCTCTAGAAATCTGCCTGCCTCTGCCTCTCAAGTGCTGGGATTAAAGGTGTGCACCACTACATCAAATCTTGGTCTCCTGAGTGCCTGGATTACAGGTATGTGTGTACTACATATTCATTTTACAGAATGCTGAAGTTCAAGCCCAGTGTCTCCTGCATGCTAGGCAAATAACCTACAGAGCTCTGTCTCCAGCCAGTGGTCAGGATCAGGTATTTTCCAGTTCTTGACCTCTTAGCCATAAAGCTAAAAACAAAGATCATAGCTGTGCAAAGTAGCAGGATAACTTTATTGAGAGCAAAGCAACAGGACAGCTCATAGGAGGATCTGGCAGGCCTGATAGCAGACATGAATGAGGGCACCCAAGGCTGCTTGTTACTGTTCAGGGTTTCCTCTTATGGGGTTCAAGAGGAGGAGGAGTTCGGTTCCTAGTGGCATAGTTAGGGTGATTCCCTGTTTTGATTGATACATTAGGTTATAGATAGTTTTCCTACTGCACAAAGTGTTGTCCCATAATGCATCTGATTTTAATCATGTGAATGCCCGATTATGCATAGGCATAAGAGGGTAAGTTGGGGATTCTCTGTACAAGTTCATGTAAGGATACAGTTTTGCCTTAAAACTTCTCCCAAAACCAGCTCAGGACAAATCAGCCCTTGAATTCTTCATGCCTGTATATGTTGGGAATATGCTAGAATAGAAACTGTTTAAGTTTGATTGTTGGTAGGGTAAGAGAAACTTACGATACTGTTTAGAGAAGGGTGTGTGCGTATCCTGACTCAGGTAGGGATCCAGGGAGTGCTGCCCTCCTAGGAATGCTGTGTGGAGAGAGCTCTGTGTGTAGCTCTTGTAGGTGAAGGTAATAATAGGTTGCCAAGCGCATTATTGGAAGAAAAGGGGAGGATGTGTAAGTCAAACCAAGGGGAGTCCCAAGACACTAAGCTATTCCTGTGCTTGACAGCCTTGCCAACATTTGTCTGATGGTAGTCTATAGTACTGGCTCTGTCACTTTGCAGATAGAAAAACAGGCTCACAATGGTGACATGAATTATTTCAGGTCATACCTTAATGCAAACATTTGATTACAAAATAATACACACATCGGGCATTGGTGGCGCACGCCTTTAATCCCAGCATTTGGGAGGCAGAGGCAGGCGGATCTCTGTGAGTTCCAGGCCAGCCTGTGAGTTCTAGGATAGTCAGGGTTCTGAAGATAGACCTTGTTTCAAAAAGAACAACAACAACAACAACAAAAAACAAAAAACCCCACAAAAATAGATAAATATTCTATCATACCCCCACCCCCACTTTTACCTCCCCATCCCCACCCCACCCAGACCCTGCCTTCAGCAGGTCAGGAATTGAAGAGGAAGTTCAAGTCAGCCGGGCATTACACAATAGAACTTTTTTTCTATGAGGGAGCAAAAGCTTAATTCTCTGGGGTCAGGGAAAAAGGGGGAAACACACACACACACACACACACACACACACACACACACACACACACACACACGCACGCACACACACACACATGCGTGCACACACGCACACACACGCACGCACACGCACGCACACACACACACACACACACACACACACGCACACACACACACTTTCAACACGCCAGAGTCTATTTCCCCTTTCCTCCTCCCTGATGCTTCCCTTCACACCTCGCCTTCTACATTTTCCCTGGTGTTTCTGTCTAGCTTTATTTTTCCCCTTGTAGTTTAAATACCCCAGCAAAATATTTCAAACAATGTAAAAATTACAATGTGGTTACATTCTCCCCCCCCCTCCAGACAAAGTTTCTCTGTGTAGCTTTGGAGCCTATCCTGGCACTCGATCTGTAGACCATGCTGGACTTGAACTCATAGAGATCCTCCTGCCTCTGCCTCCCAAGTTCTGGTATTAAAGGTGTGCACCACCACTACCCAGCTACATTCTATTTTTTAAGTGAATGATTACAATGAATACAAGTAAAAACAGCATATCATACATGATTAAACATTTTACATATTACAGGTGAAAAAAAAAATGTTCCCAAGGACCCATATACATTCATGTCTAAGCAACTTGTTACAGATTTATAAAGTGTAAGCAAGCGTGGCATTTTTCTCAGCTAGTTCTTTTATTGGCAGGCTGCATTTTGTGGTTACAAAGAAAGGATCAATCATTTTTATTTATCTCAAAAAGTAATCTTATAAAAATTCTTAAAAGAGGGGCTGGAGAGATGGCTCAGCAGTTAAGAGCACTGACTGCTCTTCCAGGGGTCCTGAGTTCAATTCCCAGCAACCACATGGTGGCTCACAACCATATACAATTCAATCTGGTGCCCTCTCTGGCACCTAGGCAGAACACTGTATATGTAATAAATAAATAAATCTTTAAAAAATACTTAAAAGAATCAGAAATCTAAACTGTTAAACATACTTTAAAAAGTCATTTCTATGTTGAGTCCTCAGAGTGCATACCCACTCAACAACTTTTTATTAAATCATATCAGGAACCCGAGGGCAAAAATGGGTATAAGGAATTAATCATCGCCTTTGATCACCAACCCATCCTAGCCAGAAAGGCGTCAGCAAGTAATAGCCAGGCTGCCTTTGTCCTTGTTCCTTGAAGCTTAACTAACAAAAGTGAGCCTCTCTAAACTTTAAATTGTTCCTCAAGATTTTCTACTTCAAAGATATTGACAAAAACATCTTAACCTACTTACTAATAGTTCTATACATCTGAATTCTTTCTAAGGGTGGTGGTTGAGTCACTAATCTGCTCCAGCAGTCATGCTTGGAAAACAATTACTATAAGTACCAGTAACGCTGCCCCACAAGGGGCTAGACACTCCGAGAGTTTTCATACAGCTCATAGATTATGAGGGACGTGGTGATCTCAAGGGCATTAAGAGAGCTATGCTCAATAACAGCATGAGATCCTCAGGAAACATAACCCTTGTGGCTCTGCCTCTGCAAGGCCACCCAACGTGTTTGTGCTGATTGCTAGCTAGGCTTGTTTCATCAGTTCCAAAGCTGCTTGCTGTTCCTTCCTCATGGTCCCCAACACCCTCCCCC